TGGAGGATTGATGGAGATTGAGGAAATCAACCATGCTATGGAGGATACTCAAGGGGAACTAGAAGTGCAAGAATGGTCTTATAATTTGAGACAGAGACCAGTATCTAAATGGAAGAGGCAAAGCCTAGTCCAGAACAAAATTGAGAAGTATATTGCTACTACTGGGTGTGAAAAAATAGCTGGGAGCATGAAGAGGAGTAGAGCTCTGGTGATCTATGAGGGCCAAAAAGTTCCAGTGGAGGAGGAACATTGTGACAAGAAGCAGAAGGAAAGTATTGATCCTGAATTGGTGGAGAAGGCCAGCCACAAATGGCCCCAAAGTGACCAATGAAGGTCATGGTGTGGAACTGTAGAGGGCTGGGTGGGCCCTCTACAGTTTCCCAGATCAAGGACTCCAGAAAAGTCCACCATCCTAATATTATATTTTTATGTGAGATAAAAAAGAATAAAGAGTTTACTACTACTGTCTGCAGGAAGCTGGGATTTCATTCCAGATGGCATCTTGTTGATCCCTCTGGTACTAGAGGGGGGTTGTTATTAATGTGGGATTCTTTGACTGAGGTAAATCAAGTGGTGGGAAATGATTTTTGTATTCAAATTGAAGTGAGAGGGGCTGGGATTGATGAATGGTGTTGAATGGTGTTTGTTTATATGAGCACAGATAGAAGGGAAAGAGACATGCAATGGGCTTATCTTGAATATAGCAAGAGAAGGTGGGAGATGGGTGGCTGTTAGCTGGGGACTGGAATGACATAGTGTGTAATGAGGAGAAAAGAGGAGGTGTTGCTAGAAGTCCTAATAGCTTTGTGGGTTTTCATGAGTTTATTAGTAATATGGCCATGCAAGAAATTCCCCAGGTAGGGTCCTTTTTTACCTGGGGAAATAACAGAGCTGGAGATGGATATGTGGAAGAAAGGCTTGACAAAATTTTTGTGTCTGCAGAGTGGCTATCTAAATTTCCTAGAATGGAGGCTTCAAATTACTATAGATCTGCTTCTGACCATAATGTTATTCTGTTTGATACTGAGAAAAAAACAAACAGAAGACATAAGAGGTTCCATTTTAATAGCTCATGGGTGGCCACGGAGGGTGTTCAAGAAGCTGTTAAATTGGGGTGGCAAGTTGAGGTAGAAGGATCTGCAATGTACCAGGTGCACCAAAAGATTAAGCATACCAGAATGGCCCTTCTTGCTTGGCATAAACCGAGTCACAGAAATAGTGAGAGGGTCATTAAGGTGTTGACTGAGCAGTTGGATGATATGAGGTGCAAAGGTAGGGATATTGACTGGGAGGAGTGGGGTGAACTGAAGAGAGATCTGGACCAAGCTCACTGTGAGGAGGAAAGCTACTGGAGGAGCAAATCTAGAGCTTTATGGCTCAAAGCAGGGGACTGCAATTCTAAGTTTTCCCATGCCTGTGTTTCTCAAAGAAGACACTCTAATTCAATCACTATGCTTGTGAACTCTACAGGAGAGGTCTTTGACAATCATGAAGCTGTAGAAAACCATGTTTCCAAATTCTACACTGAGGAGCTGCTACAGTGCATTCCAGCTTCTATCTCTGATGCTACCAACTCAGAGTTACTCAGTCCCTTTTTGGAGGATGAAATTAAAGCTGTGGTGTTCAACATGGCTCCTGAGAAAGCTCCAGGTGATGATGGTATGACAGTTATTTTTTTCCAAAAGTTTTGGCACATTGTAAAAGATGATATATGTAGAGCTATTGGTAGCTTCTTTTCTTCTGGTCATTTGTTGAAAAATTTGAAGCATACTATTATCACTCTGATTCCCAAATGCATGTACCCAGAGTCTCTGAGTAATTTCAGGCCCATTAGTTTGTATGGAGTTTTATATAAGATCATTGCAAAGCTGTTGGCTGATAGGTTGAAACTTTGCCTGGATGATTGCATTAGCCATACCCAAACTGCTTTTGTGCCTGGTAGGCTTCTGATTGATAATGTGGTCATTGTCCATGAGATGTTTCACTATCTTCATAGACATAGGTCTGGGCCCAATGTTTTTATGGCTTTAAAATTAGATATGGAGAAGGCCTATGACAGGGTTGAATGGGATTCTATCCAGAAAGTGATGGGGAGAATGGGCTTCCACTCTAAGTTCATTCAATGGATCATGAACTGTATTTCTGCTCCTTCTTTTTCTTTCAATTTGAATGGCAAAGTCTGTGGTTATGTGAAGTCTTCAAGGGGGATTAGACAGGGGGACCCCTTGTCCCCCTACCTGTTCATCTTGATCTCTGAAGTGTTCTCATCCTTTTTGAATCATAAGGTTTATGTTGGTTCTTTTAGAGGGCTTGGGCCCATGGTTTCTCACTTGTTGTTTGTTGATGATGCTATTGTGTTCTGTAAAGCTGATGAGAAAAATGCAGGCATATTGTTGGAGTGTCTAAAAAAGTATCAGTTGTTCACTGGCCAAAAAGTTAATTTGCAGAAGTCCTCCCTTTTTCTGAGCAAGAACAGCACTGCAGAGCTTAGTACCAGACTTGCTTCATTGTTGGATGGGGTTATTGTTAAAAGATCTTCCAGGTACCTTGGACTCCCATTAGGATTGGTGCTTCAAAAGTTGATACCTTCCAGTTTGTGGTTAATGTAGTGAGAGATAGAATTGGCAGCTGGAAAAACCATTTGTTGTCAACTGCAGGTAAGGAGGTGTTAGTGAAACATGTGCTCAGTGCTTTGCCGGTTTTTGTTATGTCATGTTTTTGTTATGTCATGTTTTGAAATTATTCAACAAGGCCCTGATTCTAAAACAGTTGTGGAGACTTATAGAACAACCTGATCTGCTCATGAGTAGAATTCTTAGACACAAGTATTTTAATGACTGCTCTATCTTTGATTGGCATAACACAGGGGGTGCATCCTGGCTTTGGGCTTCTTGGGCCTCTTTTCTTCCAGTATTGCAGAAGTTTACCAGGATCATTGTTAGAGATGGGCAGTCTACCAGTTTGAATGACTCTAACTGAGTGCCAGGGCATCATATTTTGAAGCCTAAGTTCAGAGTGGGTATTGATGGGAATCTATTTAAGGTGAAAGACCTGATTTTGGCTGGGGGTGTGCAATGGGATAGCACCCTGGTTAGAGCCTTGTTTGCTCCTGAGACAGCTGAGAAAATTCTACAGATAAAATCTCTCAATCCCAGGTTACCTGACCAAAGAATATGTGAGTTGTTAGTCAAGGGGAAATTCTCTGTCAAACAGACTTATGCCAAACTCCTTGCAGACAAGATGGTCTCTAGGGCTGTGGCAGAGAGCAGTGCCTGAGCTGCAGGGAATACCAAAGCTAGGAACAGATTTTAGAAGCTTAAGGTTATGGGCAAAGTTAAGCATCTGATTTGGCAAGCCTTCTCTAATATACTTCCTGTTAGTACCAATCTGCAGAAGAGAGGGATGTTGGTGGAGGATGTTTGTAGAGTGTATGGGGAGGAGTCAGAATCCCAGGAACATGTCTTTTTCTTTTGCAGGAAAACCAAGAGGGTGTGGCAGATTGCCCCAGTCCAATGGGATAGAGTACAGGCAGAAAAGATGATTGTCAAACAATGGTGGTGGTGGATTAGCACAATGAAGAATGATGATATATCTGAGGATAGGATCCAGCTCTCTACTTACATCTTGTGGTGGCTCTGGAGAGCTCGTAACTTGTGGGTCTTTGAGGGACAGTGGCAACTGGAGGAGTGGATTATCAGAGCAGCCTTAGGGATTGGATTGAGTTCAATACCAACACCTCCAAGGAGTGACAACATAAGCAAGGTTAGAGCCTAGGTCTCGTGTCAGTGGGCTGTAATGCTTGTTTATATTTGTCTATTGTTAGTGATGCTAAGTTGGTTGTGTAGTTAGGTCCCTGGTTCTGTTTTTTGTCTTTGGTTGTTAGAGGCTGTAGTTTGTTGTTCCGTTTCCCCGGTGGTTCTTGTATTGTTGGGTTTATTGTTGCTTTCGTCTAGGCGTGCTCTTAGCATGGTCTCTCAGGTTACCGAGGATTGGGGTTTTTTCCATATAAACATTGTCCGTGTTTTGGGCCGTTTTATTGGAGTTTTTATATCGTTGGAAAAAAAAAAAATAATAAATAAAATATTGTAATGTATATGGTAACTCCTTTTAGGCATAAATAAATGTGGTCTTTTCAAGTAAAGACATAATTAATTGTATTTGCATGGTAGAGTTGTAAATATTTGTTCTAACTAATTGAAATATAGTAAAGTTAATTATTAAGAATTCTACTGTTAAATTTTTTCTTCAACCTATTTATCCTAAAATTAATATTTTTTTTTCCTTCTGTTGAGTGTTTTTTCTTAATTAGTTAATTAACTTTAATGGGATAAACAAAACCCTTAAAATCATATAAATAATTGCTATAATATAATAATAATGAATAATAATAATTTTCAACTAATTATTTAGTCACGGTCTCCCAAAATTACAAAAATATTTTATTTATTGCAATTCATATCATATCATAGTGATTCACATCTGATTTATATAGTTTATATTTATATAATTCATTTATACTAATTGTCAAATTTTATAAAAACTATATACTCATTATCTTATAGTTTTTAAATTTTGTATACCTAATGTATAATATTTATTTGCACGTGTATTTGCACAAAATTTTTTTATTTTTTTTTTGCGAAAACGATAGAGGTTATTTGCACAAAAATTGACTGCTAATAATTCAATATTTTACTTGCACACATTTAATACTTTCATTTGCTCTCTTCAACTTTTTCAGAATTGAATATTAATAAATTTTAACACACAATAATACAATACCCATAATATTTTTTAATAACAAACTTCCACATGATTTTAACTACCACATAAACGTTATAACAAGCGAAAAATAACCACTCTAGATGCCCTAAGATAACCTGTACAGACTTCCAACTCAACGAAAATTTTGTCCCATAGAAAAATGAAGAA